GAACAGAGTTTAGAAGGCTAGTTACTGGGGTGCTAAGGAGTGGGGAGAAAAGGAGAGATGCTTGTCAAAGGGTACAAACTTACAGTTATAAGATGAATAAGTCCAGGAGCCCTGATACACAGTGTGGTTAGTAGAGTTGGTAACAACACATTAAACACTTAAATTTACTGGGAGCCTAAGTCTCCAATGTTCTTACTACACACACACCAACAGTAACTAGGTGAGGTGATCATCAGTCAGCCATGCTGTGCATCTTCAATCTATGTGGTTTTTAACTATATACAATTTTGTACTGCATTTGTGTTTTATTTTTATTTTTTAATCATCTCCGTTGACCTGGGAAAAAACAAAAACGCTGCCTCCCTTCATGTGCCACCCTCTGCCTTACTGGGCCCAGCAAGTAGAAAAGAGACTCAAAATGCTGAGTAAGTAAATAAATGATGATCATTAAAAAAATAAATAAATAAAACATTTGGCTCCAGATATACTAATTGGCCTGATCATCATAAATAGTAACCCTAAGCATTTTTAAGCTGCCAAAACCCCTAAGAATGCTAAAATATTGATGGCATTTTTAAAAATAAACTTGGAAGGTTGAAAGGACTTCCAGTAAGATACCAGCAGAGCTAGGTCATAGCCAGAATACCGTCTAACTGCGCTTGTGCATTCAACAAGTGCAACCACGTCAGCATCTGGGCTGGTTCCTGAAGGCAGAAGGGGCCAAAAAAGATGCTGGAACCCGTCTCAAATCAGGCTCATCCAAAACCCTTTGGGGCCTCTTATTTCCACAATTTAAAAAAATCAATTTCCTCTCTAAAAAGATCTCATTTGATAACCACACAAAAATCTGGGTCAAAAAAAAAAAAAAGTCGATTTTCAGAAATGACTTCATGGGTTCAGAACCAGAGAGGTGAATTTCTTAAATGTACTGCACATTGAAAACTGATAAAAATTTCAAATAAAGGGGAAGAAATGGGCACAAATACACTGGGGCTCCTTTTTTAGTACTGGAGTGTGAGATGTTAATTAAAGGAATCGCAGGATTGGAGGGGAACTGAGAAAAGAGGAGTGAGAATTTAATTTTAGGTGTTGTTCCATCAGGTTAAAAATAAATAAATAAAAAGGCAGCTTCATGGGTTACTTGCAGCTATTCTCAGGAACTCCATGAGCCTCGAAAAAGCTCCAATTGAAACGCTATGGTGTAAAATACCAATTTAATGAAAATCTCTCACTCCCATGAAGGACCTGTTAATAGTGAAGACCACAAATTAGCAAATCTTGGGGCATTAAATGAGCATAAAAAACGTTAGGTATCATTTGAATGATGTTCTTTAAAAGGGCATATTCATCCATTTTTTAAAACTCAAGGAAAAAAATCCTCAGAACTTAGCAGTTATATACTCTGGCTTGACAAAGTATTTCCAAAACCTGTCCTGCAGGGGCCAGCAGATAGTGTGATAGCTGTGGCAGTGTTCTTCCACATGGCTGACAGAGATTCGAACCCTGGACCTGATGGCTTGCTTTCTCACTATTCCTCTCTCTCTCTGACTCTCTCTGCTGAGTGCATGTGCCCTATAACAAATAAAAAATAATAATGATGGTGATCAAATAAAATAATTATTTTAAAAACAAATGAACAAACAAAACCAAATGACTCCTGCTCCCTCGGCCAGGCAGCCACCATGGGCTGCCTTGCACAGATATGACTCTTTGCTGATGCTTCATAAATATTTGAAACTGGATCAAACTCTCCCTATTAAAAGGGATTCTGGGCATGGGTAGAATGGTTGGTAGTTGCCTAAATTGAATGGTATCAGGAACATGAGGAGACTCCTCCTTCAAAAGTACCTCTCTGGGCTGGCTCTGTGTCTGGTGGTTAAGGCAGCTGGCTCTCACAGGACTAACTTCAAGGTCAGAGTCCTGGACCCAGTGACTTGAAAAGCACACTGGGCATATGTGGCTTCTCCTCAACCTCCCCTCTCATGTCAAAGGACCTCAGGAATGGAGGCAGTCCTGTCCCCTTCTCTGTCTATTAATTCTATTTCCCATGTTCTTCCACGTTGTATCAAATGTTAGGGTCTCATTGTTCTTTATGGCTGAGTAGTATTCCATCATGTGAATGCTAAATGAAGCAAGCCAGACTATGAAAGACAGATACTGTATGTCTCCATTTAATATAAACTGCAGTCTGCACTCTGTGGCAGAGTGAAAGACAGAAAGGTATACTGGCAGGGAGGGCGAGTGAAGATGCTATTAGGTCATTGAGAAAGTCATGACATTTTTCGACATTTTTGTATGTAAAAATGTGTCATGACTTACCTGAAAACTCAGGAGAAATAGTATAGGAGGGGTGAGTAATGGGATGAGAGGGAGGGAATCGGGGAAAAAATATTTAATGGAAACAAAAATTAAAATTTGTCTGTTGGGACCAGCAGTCGGCATAATGGCTATGTCGCTGGACTCCCATGTAGTCTACTGCGGTTTGAGCCCCAGACCTGGTGGCTTAAATTCACGCCGGGTGCATGTACGTGTGTGCCCAAGATCCCGAGAGGAGAATGGAGGAGAAGGGATTGTGGCATGGCCATCTCCCCGGGGGGTGGTTTCTCGCTTCCTGTCTCTCTGTCTCTCTCTGTCTTTCTGGTGAGCACACGCACCCTACAGCAAAAACCTCTCAGAAAAAAAAAAAAGTTGTCTGTTGATGATAATGTACACAGTAATATCTATGAATCATATGCACTGCGTTCACATGGGAAAAACATTTTATACACTATAAAGATGTACGATGATTAAATATAAAATAAAGCATTACCATAATTTTTTAAATAAAAAAGTGTAATCTCCCTGGGGGGAATATCATGTACCATGACTTTATCAGCATCTACCTGTTAATGAACTTAATATTCATAATGAGCCTAATAGTCATAACTTTACCCTACCTCTTGCCCTAAATTTCAGATTTCTATATCCAACTGCTTGCAAGAATTCTTATTAATTGTCTCCCAGAACTAGAATTCTTTCATCAACACACATACACCCTCTCTCTCTTCTCTTCTTCCCCAGGATTCCACGTGCCAATAAATGGCACTCCCACCTACCCAAATGCTCAAGCCAAAACCTCCCTGCCTTCACTCTCCACATCCAACTCATTAGTAAATCCTTTCTCCCAATATGTCCACTCTCTTAGAATTGCTCCATCTCCATCACCACCACCCTTTCTTGATCTATCACTCGTTCAGCACTGAACAGTCTCCACGTCTAACCTCTGCCCTTGTTCTCCACATGACAGCATGTCTCTGCAAAATATAAACTAGTTATTCTCATTTCACTTTCAACACCTTTTCCCCTGCCTTGGGGGTAAAATCCATGCTCCCTACCATAACTCGCAATATCTGACTTCCTTCCATTTTTCAAGGGTCTTCTCAATATGATCCTCCACTTCCTTCTGTTCTTTCAATTTCTCAAACTCTTTTCCGTATCAGGAGCTTTTTGTATTCAGTTGTCCTGAAATGCTTTTTCCAGCTCCTTAAACAATTGGCCTGTTCTCCTCCTTCGGGTATTGCTCAAATATCACCTCCTTAGAGATGCTTTTCCTGACTAAACAGCCCATCCGACACGGCATCTCTCAGTTCCCAGCGTTAGCCAATATTTGGTGTGTCACAGACATTGCAATTTTAGGGCTTTCCATTGAGTAACTCATGATTCTTCACAACCCTGTGAAGCGGGCACTGTTACTGGCATTACCCTACCCACCTTACCAATAAGGAAACTGAGATCAAAGAGACAATAGCTTCCCAAGGTCAAATAGTTATAACTAGGTGGTCTCAATATTTAACCATGGCCTCTCAACCATACAACGACATGCCTCCTTTTTCTTAAGGTTCTTGCCACAGGGTGTGTGTACTCACTAGAGAAAGACAGTGAGAAAGCCTGTCTTGGGGAGATGGCCATGCCTTAATCCCTTCTTCTCCCTTCTACTTCTGAGATTTGGGGCATTCATGCACATGCACCCAGCATGATTTTCAAGCTGCCAGGTCTGGGATCAGCCATGATCAGCCATATGGGAATCTAGTGCCATAACCACTATACCACATGCTGGCCCCCTCTTTCACATCCCCTGCATGTCTCCTTCTAGCACTTTCTACCACCCAGGTGTCATCTTTCTTAGTTATTTCTGTACTGCCAGTCTTATCACTAGAATACAGTTAGTCTCACTTCTCCATGAGAACATGTTCTAAGACCTTCAGCATTGCCTGCAAAGAAAGATAATACCAAACCCTCTACATATGATGTTTTATTCATATATATACATATCTATGATAAAGTTTAATTTATAAATTAGGCACAATAAAAGATTAACAATAATGATAAAATAGAGCAACTATTACAATATGCCAGCATCACTGCTCTTGCACTCCGGGACCACTATTAAGTAAAATAAGGGTTACTTGGACACAAATACTGTGATACCACCACAGACGATCTGGTAACCAGACAGATGCTAAGTGGCTTACTGGTGGGTAGGGTGGCATACATGTGTGCACACACTGAACAGAGGGGTGATTCAAGTCCTACTTAGGGAGGAGGAGAGATCTCATCACATTGCTCAGAATGGAGTGCAATTAAAAATGAATTGGAATCAAAAATTACCTGCAACTTTTCATTTAATAATTTTGGATTAAAGTTCACTATGGGTAAATAAAGATGCAGATGGGGGGCACTTCTATATAAGTAACGTGTGGGCAGAGATGGCTTTATATTTATCACTGGATCCCCAGTACCTGTCACATGACAGGAAGTGAATAAATACTTGTTGCATGAATGAGTAAATGAATAGATGGTAGATCTGGGTCAGAAAATGCAAACACTCATGTCAGTTGCATTGACCGTTACTCTTATTCTAGTGCCAACACTTAATACACTTCTGTGTGACCACAGAGAACACGAGCAAATGATTTTTGTCTTAAATGATTAAATAGCCTTAACTATGCTTTATTTTTCAGAGAAGATTTACTATGCTGGCCCTGTCAGTAATCTTGAAATAGATATCATCGAGGTAAAGTTTTGGTTTTCTGTTTTGTTTTGATACTTAAATTGTTGCACTGTACAGTTCATGTCTCAAAGAAGGATGAAGCGAGAACAAGGAAGGAGAGAAGGGCTGAGAAAGAAGAGGAGGACAAGGAGGGAATTAACAATTGTAAAACCTCTCCATAGGCCATCACTTAGAAAAC